CATACAAACGTACATATATATAAATGTACAATATACATACCTACATATTGTATATGTATATTCGCAAATATGAAGGTACATAGCAATGAATTCGTCAAAAGCGTTTATATTTCTCATTAATTATGCCATCAACAGCTTTTGCGAACAATTTATTGTATTGATAAATGCTCTTACACGTTCCAATATTTTTTACATACTTTTCGCCACCTTTAATTTTAATATGCACAATCTATGTATTATAAAAAGTTTACGTGCGAGAAGAAAAAAGTGAATCGGGCGCGTTTTCGGTATCTAGCCAATAATGCTTGTTGCTGCATATGCAAATATATAAAACCACTGCCCACACCACTTCCAATTTTCGCGTTTTGTTTACGACATGCGCATTCGCTTTGCTTGACATTTGGTATTCTTTGAGCTCTTCGTTCCGTTATACCTCTCTTCTTTAATTTCAAACGCCGTTTACGCTTTTGTTTTAGTGTATTTTAGCTTTCCATTCTAGTCTTGTATTTTCGTTCTCTCCGCAATTGACTATGTTGATTTTTGTTTTGTCATTTACCCATTCATTTATCACTTCGTTGTATTCAACAGCTCGTGCCTGCAAAAACTGTACTTGCGATGCCACGACCGCCTATTGTCTGTCCACAACAACGAGAGACGAAAAAAAAAAACAAGAGCTTTGCGACAATATGCCTAGATCGTTTGTTGGGGTTGTCCAAAAGCATACATGTGTGTTTTTGTTGTATTCTATTGTTGTTGGCCTCGGTCAATTACGCACATATTAGCAAGTGGAACAGAGGAAGAAAAGCGACGAATTGTCAAGTATACACAAGGGCCGTTTTCACCAACTCTGGTTAACACTAATCGCCAGTTAAACATCGTTGCCGACGTTACCGATACAACATAATATTATTATTAATATTACATATAATTATTATTTATTACTATTATTAATATTACATGTAGAATTTTACATGGTAAGTGCTATGCGTTGGGTAACCGCTTACACGCGAAGCCCATTTAACAGATTCTTATGTGACAACTCTCATGCAACGCTAAGTTTGAATAACTGGGCTATTAACCGGGTATGGAGAAAACGGAAAAGGCCCTAAGGGCCGGCTGTTCAATATCTACTTGCCGGTTAAACATCACTATCGACGATTTCGACATCATGCATATAACATGGGGTACGTTCAGAAATGCATCAAGCCAAAGCATCAGTCCCTTTTACTTCTAAACTAGAAGGCCACAACCGCCTGGTGTAAACGGTCCTTCAACTAATCTCTTTCAATGAAGTTGGTCGGATGCCTACTTTCGTTCAACTTTTGATTCAACTAATCGCCTGTGAAAGTAGAATCACGTAAATTCCCTATAAGTGTTGTATTGACGTATATTGTAGTATTTAAAGGCTAAATAAATGTTTAGAGGACTTGAAACCACAACCAAATATTTTTTAACTGTGTGGAATTTCACAATACGGCTTTTTAGCTTGCGAATCCCTTTAATAGTGTTTTACCCGTTTAAAGTTTATGACATACAACAATGCGACAGTATACAACACCTTGTCAACTTCCTAAATAATTGTGACTAGAAATCTCAAAGAGGAAAATTGGAGCCGCCTATGCTATGGATTTTCTTATGCTGTGAAAAAAAGGGAAGAAGATACGTCCTTATGTACATACATATGTAAGTAAGATACATGTTTTTACATTTACATTTATTAATTTCAGCTAGTTATTTTCAAAAAAAAACTTACCCGAATATAGAAATGCGCATATGTATGTATGTAATTACTTTTTTCGGAACTAAAGTTCGTCTTTTGGAGTCATATTTTTCTTTTATCGTACGTGTAGATTTTCATTTAATTCACTGCACTTTTTAACAATGGGAAACTGTTTCAATTCTTAAAATTGAAAATTGGGATGCATAAATCCCACGAACAATTGATTCTGAAAACGAGCACAACCACTTCTTCTGGAATTCACTGCGAAATGAATTTCAAAACGGTTTTGTACAATTTACTTTTTCTTTCTGGTTGATTTTCATCGCTCCATTACCTTATTCACTCATTTGGTTGGATTTTCTTTTTTTTACGAACCTATCCTCTCAAGCAATTCTCTATTTATTACATATTACATATATATAGTACATATTTAATTTTCTATGACTTTGTTTTATAGGCGTTTTCGCGTCTTCTGACGTTACGTTTTGGACCCTATTTCGTTTCGTTAGTCTAGGTCAGTGATGGAAAAGCAGGCACATAGGGCCATTTTTGGCATTTTCATTCTTAGAGCACTTTTGCCAAAGAACGTAGATAACCAGAATGGACAACTCGTTATAATTGTAACGAAAGTGCAAAACAAGGGCGTGCCTTCTCTTTTGCTCTAGTGCGTTTTTTGATTGGATGAAAGGCTAACGGCCCGCCTCCACAGGCAAAAGTTTTTGCCTACCAACTGTCATTTTTATTGCCTGATAAAAATTTTATCAGCGGCAATATTTGTGCGTGGGCATTTTTTATCTTGATAAAAGCATTTATAAGATGGCAATTTTGCCGGATTTCATCAATTAAAAAGTTTAAAAAGTATGCTATTTCACACCCAAGCAAATAATAACACATATTTTAATAGAAAACTGTTCAATTTTTGCTTTTATATTGAAATATCGATAATGTTGTCTCCACGAAGCTATCGCGCAAATGAAAATGTAGCTGTCAATGTACCAAATTGCTCGCAATATTTATCAAGATAAAAGCTCTGATTATTATTGCTTGCCAAGAGCAATATGCGGTCTCCATGGGCAAAATTTTGCCTGATAACATTATCAAGATAAAAACTTTTGCCTGTGGAGACAGCAAGTAAGGCACGCCCCTGTTGCACACTTTCGTTACAATTATAACGAGTTGTCCCTTGTTGTTATCTGCGTTCTTTGACCCAAGTTTACGTGATCTACAAGTTACAAGCGTTTAACAGTTCATTATCATTTACGGTGTAATATTAATTATTATACACTGAACTATGAACTATGAACTATCTGTACTATTATCTATAATAATAGACAATAATTTGCAATGTTTTTACACTTTTGCAATTAGTTTCGGGCACTATTCCACATTCATGACTTGCGCCACTCTGCCATAGTACGATTGTTGCTCCCTTTCATACCACAGTAATTTTGTATACAACTCTGAATCAACAAAATGCATGCTCCTTCTCATTTTCAACCCTGATCAGATTTTACCCGAGGAGTACTCAAAAAGGTTTATTACTGTATATACTGTGCATTCAACTTTGATGAAATAAAGCGAAACGGAAGCAACATTAAATCATAACAAAAAAAAAAAGAAAAACGATTTGTTTTTTCTAAATACAAGTCCACGGTGAGAAATTAAATATATTCCAAACTAATAAAAATGTCCGTGCGACCGAAGTTTGCTGGTACTGGCCTAGAGGAAGTCAATATTCCAGGGCAAGCATATCTCCGAGAAGCGCTTACATCATGCACCGATCCTCTAAAGGCGATTGAAAGCTTTCAGGTTTGTGTTTCTACATATGTATTTGACACAAAATACTATCTCGAAAATAATGTTATTTGATTTGTAGCTGGAAAATGGTGTGCTTTTACCGTCTTTGCGGCCGATGTTGCCACTTTTGGATTTGCATGGTGTGCGGCGTCTGGATTTTCACACTTCGCTCATGGAGGTAAGCAAAACAGAATTTGGTTTCTTTTAGTGACTAGTGATATTTATAAATTCATAGGAGTTGCGGGAAAAGCTGATTGCACATATTAATGAGTTGGGGCAAAAGGATCCGCGTGAGCGTGACAAAAAATTGAAGGAATTGTTGGTAAAGAGTTTTCCCGTTGTCAGGGTTAAAGCGCTTCGACCAGTAGTAATGGCGATTTTACGAAATACCCAACATATTGATGACAAATATTTGCGAATTTTAGTACGCGATCGAGAACTCTATTCGGATACAGACACGGAAGTAAAAAGACAGATTTGGCGCGACAATCAATCTCTATTCGGTGACGAAGTTTCGCCACTTTTATCACAGTACATTCGTGAGAAAGAACATGTGCTATTCGATCATACAAATTTAAACAATCTTTTCTTTCACCCATCGCCAAAGGTGCGGCGACAGGGTGAAGTAGTGCAAAAGTTGGCGAATATGATAGGGCAGAGTGTGAAACTATACGACATGGTATTACAATTTTTACGCACCTTGTTCTTACGAACCCGCAACGTTCATTATTGTACTCTTCGTGCCGAGTTGTTGATGGCACTTCACGATTTGGAGGTTCAGGAAATAATTTCCGTGGATCCATGTCATAAATTTACTTGGTGCTTGGATGCTTGCATTCGTGAGAAGAATGTTGACATAAAAAGATCTCGCGAACTGCAAGGTTTTTTAGACAACATAAAACGTGGACAAGAGCAGGTTTTGGGCGATTTATCGATGACGTTATGCGACCCATATGCTATCAATTTTTTAGCCACGTCAGCAATTAAAATTTTACAACATTTAATTAATAACGAAGGACTGCCTCGCGATAATACCATTCTCATCTTATTGCTGCGTATGCTCGCCTTGGGATTGAGTGCGTGGGTAATGATTGATTCCCAAGATTTTAAGGAACCAAAACTTGACTGCCAGGTTGTTACAAAGTTTTTACCTGCGCTAATGTCACTTATGGTGGATGATCAATGTCGTAGTTTGCATTCGAAATTACCTCCAGACGAGCGTGAATCGGCACTTTGCACGATTGAGCACTCGGGGCCTGCACCAGATGCCGTTGAGGCGTATATTCAGGAGAGTTCTGTAGCCAGCATATTGGCGATGTATTACACTTTGCACACGGCACGCCTGAAAGATCGTGTTGGCGTACTGCGCGTTTTAGCAATATTGTCTGCTTGCAAGGATGACCGTGCCTACGAAGATCCATTCCTACATTCACTTGTAAGTCAACAATATGCTCACATATAATTTAATATTCACAATTATTTTCATGAACAATGTTTGCCATAATTATTTATCAAAATATAGTTCCTACCATAATATAAAACATATAAATCAAAGTTGCGCACACAATATGAATTTCCCAAAAATTCAAAAAAATATCAAAATTTCAGAATTTTTAGAAAATTTTCGAGTATGCGGTTTTGAAGCCCAAAATGCAAGTTTTCGGTCGCTAATAATTACCGTTGATTTTTTAGAACTTTTATGTGAAGGTCGTTTTTTTTCATATAACGCTTGATCAAAACTTATTTTTATTTGGTTTAGAATATAGAATGGCTATATTTTCATATATAATTAATGACAATAATTGGTAATATCGTCGTTTAAATTAAAAAAAAAAATTCCCAAAAATTCAAAAAAATATCAAAATTTGTATTCAGAATTTCTAGAAAATTTTCGAGTATGCAGTTTTTGTAGCTCAAAATGCGCAAGTTTGGGGTCGCTAAAAATTACCGTTGACCTTTAGAACTTTTATGTGAAGGGTGTTGTGCGTTTTTTCCATATAACGCTTGATCAAAACTTATTTGATTTATTTGGTTGATATTATAGAATGAACTATATTTTCGAACATCGTCGTATGAAGTAAAAAACCGCGTATCAACAACATTTAAAACCGCGACGAATGGATAAGGATTGAGCCAAGAGCTTGTGTGAGCAAATCCAATTTTTGGCAGCAAACGTCAGTTACGCGGCTTTGCGGAATGACGATATGCGGTTTTGCACTTTAAACGACAATATTCACCCTCATTGCGAGAGTCGTGTCGAATGCAAGTCGTTTTTCGAGAGCCGAATGGTATAGAAAGTTTCACGGTAAAACTTTGCAGAACTGTATACTTTTCGACGATTTTCGACGTTTACTTATTTCACCACCACAGTAGACAATAGTTGCGTTTTTTTACTCATTTCCAGTAAAATCCAGTAAAAGTTTTTACGAATT